AACGATTCTTCGAGTTATTAATCGCAAATTCAGCAGGTCCAAGGTATGTCTCCCACCGTGAAGGTTCCTGATCACAGTAGTTTCTCAACATGTCTCCAAGGACGCGATTAACTCGTTCTGTCTGACCATCAGTCTGAGGATGGAAAGCAGTACTCATCGCCTGCTTCACCTCTAGCCTCTTCATGAGAGAGGTCCAGAAGGCACCAGTAAACTTGGTGTCACGACCTGAGACGATGGTGTCTGGTAAACCGTGAAGCCGTACCACGGTGTCAAAGAATAATCTGCAGTTTCTTCTGCGTCTATTTCTTCCTTGCATGGTCGTACATGCACCATCTTAGTCAGTCGGTCTACAAACACCACAAGGGAGTTGTAACCTTTTCTAGTCGAGGGCAGTCCGAGTACAAAGTCCGTTGAGACGCTGCTCTAAGTCGTTCAGGAATCGGCAGAGGTCGAGATAGACCCAGCGGTTTGCCTGATGAAGCTTTATTCCGTTGACAAAGATGGCAACACGCGACAAAGTCTGCAACGTCAGCTTTCAACGTAGGCCACCTGAAATTCCGTTCAACCAAATCAATGGCGAACCATCGATCTCGTCCAGGGTGCCCTGACAAGATATCCGTGTGGCTTCATTCAATAATCTCTCGTTTCAAGGCGGGGTCATTGGGCACCACGATGCGGTACTCGCACTCCCCCCTTCCTATCTGAAAGAATCCGAGAGGATTCGTCAGAAAGAAACGAGTATGATCTGGGTTCTGGAAATGAACGTCTCTTTTTGTAGCATCGGCAATACATTGGATGAGTGGGTCCAGCGTAAGTCCCTGAGAGCGACGTGTAGTAACCGCATTGAATACCACGACAGATGCCATGGAGGGATGGCGTGACAAAGCGTCGGCGACCACGTTCAACCGTCCTGGTCGGTAAATCCACTCAAAATTTAGTTGAGCCAGGAACTCAAACCAACAGGCTTGTCTGTGGCTTACGGTCGACTGAGTCTTAAGAAAGATCAGTGGATGGTGGTCGGTGACGAGGTTAAATGGAATGGAACTCTGTAAATAGCATCGCCATTCTTGCAAGGCGTTGATTACCCCAAGTAGCTCCTGTTCACCCGTACTGTAGTTCCGTTCAGCAGGGGAAAATTTCTTACTGGTAAAGGCGACCGGTCGGTCATTTTGCAGGAGTACGGTGCCAGTTCCGTTCAGCAAAGCATCTGAAATCACTTCGAAGGGCTTCATATATCCGGGTAATTCAACAAAACGTCGTTCGATAGTCGAGCTTTGAGCGTTTCAAAGGCTCGTATGGCTTGTTCAGGCCATTCATCTGGTAATCTTTTCGCACAGAAGAGATCGGTCAGGGGTGCAGCAAGGGAGCTAAAACCTGCGATAAATCGCCGGAAATAGTTCACAAGGCCAACGAAAGATCGAAGTTTAGAGATGTCCTTTGGCAATGGCCAAGTTCGAATAATCTCACCTTCTTGGGATCCATACGGATACCATCTGCGTTCACGACATGTTCAAGCTATTGGACTCCGATCTTCCAAAAATCGCACTTGGAAAGCTTGACATGAAACTGATTTTTGGGCGGGGCCCCAGCGCGAAGCGCCCAGGGGGGCCCCGACCTGTAGGGGGGCCCCATGTCCGTGTGTGTGTGTGTTCGTGTGTGTGTAACGGACCAAACATAATATCTAGTCCGGCTGAAACGCGTTATCGGTACTATACAGCATTCTCTATTGCAAGGTATCTCGCATGTAGCCAACAAAAATTGCATGAGCACAAACAAGTTTGGCTGCCTGAATTGACCGAGGCCAAAGTCACATCAACGCCTCTCGCGCTAAATTTCATCCCGAAAGGTACCACGTATCTCATATTTGAATTCTTAGATGACGGCGTATGATAACTCGAACACCCAGGCCTTGAGTGTGTAACGGACCAAACATAATATTTCACCCGGCTGAAACGCGTTATCGGTAGTATACAGCATTCTCTATTGCAAAGTATCTCGCATGTAGCTAACAAAGACCGTATGAGCACAAACAAGTTTAGCTGCCTCCATTCACCGACCTCAAAAGTCACATCAACGCCTCTTGCGCTAAATTTCATCCCGAAAGCTGCCGCATATCTCATAATGAAATTCTGAGATGACGGCGTATGATAACTCGAACACCCAGCTTGTGTTACCATTTGCCGGCATGGGCAATCCGACTTGCCACCAGCAGGCCAACATAATTTGCTTTCATTTTTTTTCATTTCTATATGAAATACACAAGCTGCTTGTTTGTACATTTACTTTGGCCAATGCACGGGGCCTCCGAAGACTTGCGGTGTGCCGCGATGAAGCTCGCGTGTGGGGCGGATTGCTTAGGACGCTGGCGCTTCGGGGATAAACATCACAGACAGCACCGAACTTCACTCAGCTTGCGTTACCAATTTGCCCGCTCGGGCATTCCGACTTGCGGTCTGCCGCACTGTCCATGCGGCATGCACCAGGGATGGATGCGATTCGCGTGGAGCCCGCAGGCGGTGCTGACGATTCCGCCGGTGCAAGCTTCGCTCCCACACCATCAGTACTGCTGCAACAAAGCACATCTCCCACCGCAGTGACACTATCCATCAATTGTCACACGTGCCGTGCTAGCTACCGGCCTGTACGGATGCAAGGGGGGCCCGCCCTTTTTCCGGCTTCGAGGAAGCCGACACCCGACTTGTCCTCAGGGACCTTTAACACCACCCTTAAATGGCGTGCGTGTTCTTAAGCAATGTCATGTATGCTGTTGAACGTATTTTGGACTATCGGACCCGGCGCGTGGGTAAGTCTAGGCGCAAGCGCACTGTTCACGAGTAATTAGTCAAGTGGGTAGGGTACTCGTCCGAACACAATAGCTGGGAACCGGCGCGCAACTTCACCCCGGATCTCAAAACCGTTGCTTGATGCAGCTCGTCTGCGGGCTCAGTCCAAGGTTGCAACACGTTAGCTGGTATGGCCAATCTTGTTTTGCGCAGCGATCTGTATGCGGATTTATATCTTATATATATATAAATAGGGGGGTCCTTGTGAAGCAGCTGCCCGCGTTTCCAAAGCATGTATGGTGTCGGATTGTAAGGTGCCCAAGTACGTTTGCGAGGAAGAGAATGTGGCCAGGCTGGAGAGGAAAGTGCAGTGGCATATTGGAATGTGAGATTAGCGTAAGCGAGTTACAGGGCGTTTGGCGCACGGGCGAATTTACGTGCATACCTTTCACCGTAGCATCAGTCCCCAGTTCACTTCTTGGAACGAACATCAGCATAGGTCCAAGCCCTTTCGCTTGGAGGGATATGCAAACAAACATCCTGATAGGGGTAAACTCGCACGCTACCGAGCATTCAACCGAGCACATGCATGCTTAGTTGAATGGTGAGATGCGACCTCTCTTCATTTCGTGCTCGGCAAGCCTGCCACCGCGTACCGGATATGTTGGCGATGTTACAGAGACGCTGCACCTTGGTTTCTGTGCGCAATGCGTACGATGCTCGACCCCGCCGACCAAAACTACACGTGCCCAACTGAAGACATTCCTGGTGGTTGTGCAGCAGCTCTTGAGGCTGTTGCTGGCTGAAATTCATCCTGAGCTGTTGCAACACGGCTAACGCGGGCACGTCCCTATGCACAACAAATAGCTGTTCCAAGCCAACAGCGGCGTCCATGTCACCGACAAGGCTCTAAACGTCTTATCTGTTCTTATGTTTAAATAAGTTTATGTATGTTATACTTTGCGCAACTTTGTAATTTGACTTTACTCTGAACAAGGTGCTGTATACGTTGCGCTACCAAAAACGCGACCGTTTGCTTGCACAAAAGTGTCGCTTCGCTCAACGCTTCCTCTTCCTGCGGCCTTGCCTGAGCCAAGCTTTGCAAGCTACGTTGTATGATTTTCGTTCTTTTAATTGCGGCACAGGAGCCACCCACATTTCCGGCCTGCATGCCGCGTGCGGCTGTGGCCAACATGCCCACCTGCGCAACGCGCTGGCGCACCTCGTCCTTTCTTCGCCAAAGAAATTATATACGCTTGTACAGGCGCATTTTGCGAATCCCACGCGCGCATCCGCGCGGCAAATTTCGCTCCTGGCTTTTTTGGACGATGTACGAACCGTTTATTCGGCAGAGTACGACCGCTCACATTTGTGCGAGGGGCTGCTTAAACAATTGAATTATGCATATATATATCTTAGATATATATATATATCTTATAATATATATGCATAATTCAATTGTTTAGTGCGCCGCGGGGAGGTCTATTGGGGGTGAGGGAGAGCGAGCCTGGCTATCCTGGGGCGGGGTCTACCGGGCTGCGCCAGTGCGGCAGGTTCTGTACAAGCGCCTGGACTGGATATAAGATATAAATCCGCATACAGATCGCTGCGCAAAACAAGATTGGCCATACCAGCTAACGTGTTGCAACCTTGGACTGAGCCCGCAGACGAGCTGCATCAAGCAACGGTTTTGAGATCCGGGGTGAAGTTGCGCGCCGGTTCCCAGCTATTATATATTATATATATTTATATTTATATTATATTTATTTTTATATTTATATTTATATTTATATTATATCAGAGAGACGGGTGTCTTACATGGCTGGTGTGGGATAACTGTTGAGATCCGCTATCGCAAGCCGGTAGTATTCCAATGGGCTTGGTTAGCAGGACGTTATGACTATAGTACTGACTCTGGGGGAAACCTTTCGGAATACTTCAGACATATGAATGAGAGATATAGTCCCTGCGGAGGATAGACGGACGACAGTATGAAAACCCTAAAACCCCGAAGATGATGATCTTAACCAGGTAACTTACGCAGTAGAAACAAACTATATCGGAGATGTATACTTGGGCTGTATTTGGCCTTCGCTTGACGGCCCGGGTTCGTTTTCTTTGATCACCTCTCCCGTTAAGGAGGCAGGATTCCAGACCCGGATTTCAAGAAGCAATTGAATTCAAAGAGGCTTCTGTACGGGATAACCTTGCCGTTTTATGCAGGGTTCACCTGTGGACCTCTGGGTGCAGCCTGGAGGTGGTTCTGAAAAATCCCCTGACAAGGCAGTTGAAGAAGCAACATCAGGGAGGTTAATTGCCGTTACGTCGATCCTTGAGGCACCAGACTTGTCTTTTGCCCAAGGGGGCCTGGATATTCGGTGGCATGAAAAATGGGGCGAGCTGATTCTGGACCCCTCGGAAGATCCCATAGCCCGTCCCATCGGTACAATCAAAGGACAGCAGGACGAAACCTCAGTTGTAAGCACACCAGAACTACAACCACCGTCCCGACCCAATGGCTACCCCGCGGAATCGGAATTGGGAACCGCCAAGACATTACTGCAGCAGGGCTGGTCGAGACTGCAGGAACTGGATTCCGTCGCTGCAGTTGACGGTACCCCCGATGAAGAGTTCAGCAGCAATTGAAGGCAATTTGTCCAGATCCTGACGACTTCACGGCGGGCAGGCTGCAGGCTCACTCCGACGTGTGGGAAACATATTTCCGCTTGGCAAGCGAGGGAACCCTACGAACCCCAGCTAAGTCGGTGCTGAAGATGGTGAGGGAGGGAGTTTCCTTGGATTTTGTTGGTGTGTACGCCCCTGGACAGGAGGCAGCCCCACATAGAGCCGCCCCTCCAATATACGCTGGTGATTCCCTCCGGGCGGCTTCTTGCCGGGTAGTTGGGGGGAAAGAAGGAAGGAAAGAGTGGGCAGGAGGGGTGGGAGTGAGAGGAGAGTGCGCGCGGGGCGCAGGTGGCTGGGGCGGCGAAGCAGGCGGCACAGGAAGTGGAGCAGGGGATTTACCCTAGATGCTGCCCTCGTTGCTGGCGTGCGCCCAGCTACTTTGGCAGTGTATGGTGGACGAACGATTAGTCTTCAGTAATAAATACCCTACATACCGCCGGCCGGCGCCAGCGGCAAACCCATGGGTCGCCATCGTGCATCCAGATCTACTAGCTACTCGATCACGGTTGTAAGACAGTGGCACAGAACCAGACTTGGAGGCTCGGATCGCTTCGCTCCATCGCATCTATTAAGGTGCCTTTCCCTGCGTTCTCAGTTGTGCCCTAAGTTGAGGATCTCTGCTGGAGCACCGTTCCTTATGGTCTTATGTTAGAGCAATGTGTGCCGCGTTGTGTTGTTTTAGGGTTTTCTTAAAACATCGAGAGTGCGTGGTGCACCGCGGGAACCAGCGATCTCATTTGCGAGTTTCACGGGTGCAGTTATTGTTTGCTGTTTTGTGGTTCAGTATCAGCTACGTTGATATTTTTAGAGTTTGTAGTGCGGCGCATTCAGTCACAGACTCCCTGGTTTCTCACTCATTTTCGATACAAAATTAAAATATCACACCGCCAGGAACACGCTGATCGTCCTTAGATTCGTCGTCTGGACAAACAAGGGACATGGAGTGGCGGGTGCAATCTTGGCAAAGCTTCAACACGCAAGAAACGCCTCACCTGCCCTACATGACGCTACCACTACCCGCACACAACCTGCCAGCCACCGCGGTCTCATATCAGCACCAACAGGTGAAGCAACAAAATGTACGCACTAAACAGCAGCCGAGCGGTAGGCCGGCAGTATAAGGCCACCGTCAATTTGTCGTGCAGCCGTACCGCCGCGCCAAGAATGTTGGCTGCGAAGGGCGGGCAGTTCCCTCTGAGCAGCCCCGAGAGGGGCTGGAAGGTGGTGGACGCCCCCTGTAGTTACCGAGGGTGCGGCAGGCGGGAACATGGAAAGGTGTGTATGTGCAGCGCTGATGAGGGTGTGGCTTTTAAGGTATCGGAATTCTCACGAGGACACGAAAGTTGAAATCTACATGTGGCCACGCTGAAGGAACAGGTAAGGGTACTACTGGGGAGCTTGGGTGTCTGCCCCTCTGTTTCCCCGGTGCTCTAGACCCTTGCCGGGGATCAAGATCTCCTAGGCAAAATGATGCACCACAGAATGTATATCGTTTCACGTATCGCACCTGCAGCACTGCATTTTCCGGGTCGTACACCCCTGCCAACTGCGAGGCCATTTCGTCGCGCTTCTTATCAGCTGCCGCCCCCGGGTTGCCAGTGTTGGACGAGCCAACCCCAGTGCCGCTTGCCGGGCTGCTTAAGCCGGGCGGTACGATGATGCCCACAGCCGCCTGCTGGTTGCGGCGTTGCTCCGCACGGAGGGCCATTTCCAGCTGTGTGCGGGTCTGTCGGAGCGTCTCGACCTCCGCCAGCAGACCATCCACCTGGTTGGCCCTGCGGGGCAGGTTGTTGCGACGTGATGGATGGCGATGCAACATTGTGGCTTAGCCACGGTTAAGGGTTAAAGCATGCGGCAAAAGCGTGCTGGCAAGTTAAGACACGTATAACCGTTGTCAATGTATTCTATTCCATCCTTGTGAGAAGCAAACACAACCCCATATCGGCTTGGATGGCCGCAATCTAGTAATCAGTTGCGACCCCTGGCAAACGCTATGGCCGTCCCTGTGCCGATGGGTGGGTTGAGATGCAGGAAGGCGAATCTAGGATGTCGGCATGCGCATGACAATTGAAATCATGGCGCTGACCTTGCGGCAATATCATTTTGCGTTCATCGTCAGGTGCAGCGTTGCGGCAGTGTCAATATGTAACTTTTGCGCACGAAGAAGTTGGCGACCAGACTCCCCAACCCCCGATAGGCCCAATGTCGACCTACCTCGACACTAGTCCCACTCGCTCGTTCTGCAGCTCCATCACCTGCCGCCGCAGCTCGACCACCGCTGCTGCCCCGCCTGCATTTTCCCCAGTGGCCGCCCCTGCCGCCATACTGCGCAACCTCTCCACCTCCGCCGTCATTGCCGCGTGCTGTTGCTGCAGCTGCTCATGCGCCCCCCGCAGCGCCGCGACTTGTTCAGAGGATGGACCAGGTGCGCCCTGGTGATCACCGTGCACATGCTGCTGAAGCTGTCGAATCTGCATCTGGGCCTGTTGTAGCTGCTCATGGGAAGCTGCCAGCTGCTGCTCTAAGGCGCCAATTCGAGCTCGCTGTTCCTGAACGGCCGTTTCTAAGCGCTGTGCGTGCTGCGATGACGCAGCCCCCTGCCTGACCGTCTCTTCCAGTTGCCTTCGCAGTTGATCCACAGCCCCCTGTGCCTCAGCCAGCGAGCGGGATGCTGCTGCGGCATCCGTTAGCTGGGCCTGCAGGCCCTGGATGTACTCCTGTGGCAAGATGGGGGGATGCATGGGAGGTGGGAAAAAAGCACACATGCCTGCCATGGGAAGGCATACATGGCGACCTGCCGACGTGGCGGAGCGAGCACTGGTAGTCAGGGGCACGGACAAAACACGGGATGGAAAGGAGAAAACCCTTTCGCCATTGATCCCCAAGCTGACCGGCCTTGCCGTACAGGTATTGAAACTTTCGGCGTGCATTTCTGAAATCGTTATTCTTCCGAAGCAAAAGGCGCCGTACCCTGATCACGTCGGCTAAGAGCCTTCCATATGCGCATGACGGCGAGAAGGCGAACTCCCTGGACATCCGCAACCAGATCTATCCCCTCATGACAGCCGTTCTCTACACATATTTATAGCGGTACCTAAAAACGTCCTAATCCAGCTTCGCTACACCACACAAGAGCTAAGCAATTCTGCTGTTGGACGCACTCTACCGCTTAGGCCCACCAACTACCATTATGAAGTTCTGGCTCAACCTGCACTGACTTACAGATTTCCATAAAAGCCGCATGGTTGGATTACGGGCATTCATACAGGATTGCTAGATGTCCCTAAGTTCAGCGAAAATCCGTCGGGTTAAGCCCGCTGTGCATGCTCTGCACTCAATCTTACACGCGAGGCGCTGTGAAAGACCGGTTGTGCATTGTATAATAATCATACATACGTGCCCGCTCCTGAGGCGCAATATCGTCTCGGTTAACCTTGACACAGCCCTCACCCATGCTACCCTGCGGTCGAGTCGAAGGCCGTCGCCCATCCGCTAGGCCACCACCGCGTTTGGTGCCAAGGGACCGACCCAGGAAGCAGCCATTTTACGTATCTTGTTGGATAACATGCTTTCTTAATAAATCTACTATGTATGTTGGAAGCAGCATGGTGAAAGACGTTTCTGAATTCGCTTCCAAAGCCAACCCGGCCTCCGAACATCGCTTCTTCAGACCCCTTCCTGCCCCTTTCTCCTCCCACTTCTTCCAGCCCCATTTCCTCTCCCGCCTTGCCTGTAAGCGATGTAGCTGTTGTCCTTGTTGCTGCAGTTGCTCAACCTGCTGCTGACTGAGTGCCTCCAGGCCCAGACAGCGCCCCTCGAGTTCCTCATTCTCCATGCGAAGTCGGGACAATTCCGCCTGGGGTCGAAATGGCACGGTGTATGCTTCAGAACCCGGCCGTACCCCAGGTGGTAGGTTGCCGCAGCAAGCGCGAACACTACTAATAAACACGAAGGTGAGAAGCAGTTTGGATTCTTCGCCCCAAGCACGAAGTAAATCGTTACTGTCAGTGAAGAACGAGCGAGTTCCGTGAAGAAGAGTCCAATATACAGGAAAGGTCCCTCCCTCTCCATGAGTGATCCAAAAGCCTTCCCGAGCCTCTCAAGAGCCCCTACAGGTATTCCACCGCACCTCAAGTTCTGCGCTCCGTTGCTCCAGCGCCGCAGCTCGTGCGGTCTCTGCCTCAGCAGTCCTGCAACCCACTGCTACAGAAGCCACCTCTGCAGCTAGCTCCTGCTCCTGGTCCCGCGCCACTGCAGCCAGCCGCTGCTCCAGCTCCTCTGCACGCCGCACCGCTGCTGCCAGCTGCACCCGCTCCGAGTCCAGAGCTGACTGGGTCTCCCGAAGCTCCGACAACAAGTGCATGTTGCCGTCACGCAACTCCCCCAGCTGACTCCGGAGAACCTCTACGTCTGCTTCAAGCTTTGTCCGGGTCTCGTGCGACTCGTGTAGCTGGGATTGCAGCTCATCATCCGCCACGCGTGCCGCCTCTGCAGCCTGTCGGAGAGCCTGCACCGCCGCTGTTGCAGCTGCCTCGCGCTCCACCGCGGCTTCCGCGGTCAAACGCAAGCTTGCCACCTCCGTTTGCAGCGCTGATACCACCTCAGCTTGGCTCGTCGCGGCTGCGGCAGCAGATTGCATCGCCGCCTCCCTTTCTAATTCCGCATGTTGCAGGCGCTCCTCTGAATGTCGCAGGTGCTCCTGAAGGGTGATGAGCTGCTTTGTTGCGCTGGTGTCGGCTGCCAACAGCTGCACCCGCAGGGCCTCCACCGCAGCCTGGGCCTCCGCTTCGCGACCCTGACTTTGCAAGAGCTGCGCCTGCGCCTGCTCCAGTAGTTGTTCCAGCTCGTGGCGTTGCGTTTCCATCTCAGTCACCCTGGCAGAGAGCTGGTCAACGGCGGATCGCGCCTCCTCCAGCTGCGCCTGCAGGTCTGAATCCGCGACCGTCAGCTGCAGCTGCGCCTCCTCCAGCTGCACTCGCAGCGTCTTGCACGCTTCCTGCAGCAGCTCGCAGCGGTCCACTGCATCGCCGGCATCCATTGCTGCCGCCTGGGCCTCCTCCAGCTCCGCCTGCAACTCGGAGACCCGCCCTTCAAGCTCTGAAACCCTAGTCTGCGAGGCTTCCAGCGCCTCACGTAATGTCTGTGCTTCCAGCGCCGCCGGCTCGGCCTGCGCCCTCTCGGGAACTGCCGTAGATTGGTGATCACTGCTATCGGCGGACCCCGTTACCCTGTGCGAACTAGCCTCGGCGTCCCCCGGATTGTTGCCACCCAGCTCGTTTGCATCCCAGGAACCCCCATCCGCCAACGCCGCTTGTAGACGCTCCGCCTCGTCAACTGCCGCCGTGGCTTCCGTCACCTGCCCAGACACTGCAGCCGAAGGGGCGACAACTAATGATGATGCCGCTCGCACCTCTTCCAGCTGCCGCTGCAGTTCGCGGATCTCGGCTGCCGTGTCTTCCGCCGCTGTCCTTGCCGAGTGCTGCACGGCATCCAGTTGCCGGCGGGCCTCCTCAAGATGGGAGGTGGCCAGGGCGACCTCTCTGTGAAGGGCTTCAATGTTGGCCTCCCGCGTTGTCACCGCCGCTCGAAGCTCACCTGAGTGCGCCTCCGCGTCCGCTAGCGCCTGCTGCAGCGCGGCCACCTCAGATCTGGCCTCCTCCAAAGCAGCTTGTACGGCGGCCAGCTCAGCTGTACGCGCTTCTGCTGCAGCCTGGTCGCCCGCCGAGTCAGACGCCCTGGCGGACGCCGCAATTGCCTCCTCCAGCAGAGTGCGCAGATGTGCTGCTTCGGCTCTGGCCTCTTGGCCCGAATGCTGAGACTCAACAAGCTCCTGGCGTGCTGCCTCCAGTGCGGCAGATGTCTCCAACGCCTCCAAGCGCAGCGCTACCGTGCTCGACTCATGTGCCGCTGCCGCTGCTTGCAGCTCACCCGCCTGGGCTTCCGCTTCCGCGAGCGCCCTCCGCAGCTCCGCCACCTCGGACTGCGTCTGACCCGCCGCAGCCTGCGCCTCCGCCAGCCCGGCCGCCCGTGCCTCCGCCAGCGCCTCGGCGTCAGCGACGCGCTGCTCCAGCTCGGCAATGCGCGCCTCGGCCTCCGAACGCGATGCTGCTGCCGCCTCAGCCACCTGCTGTGCCGCCTCCAGCTGCCATTGAAGAGCCTGGACCTCCTCTCCCCTTGCCTCCCGTGTAGTGGATAGCTGCGTCCGCAGCTCCGTCACCTCCTGCTGCAAACCTTCTGTGCGCTCAAGCAACTGGCTTACCTCGGCTGTCCGCGCAACTGTTTCGGCCCTCGCCTCCTGTAGCCTTGCCCGCAGCCCATCAGCCTCAGCTCGCGCCTGCTCCAGCTCCAATTGTGTGGCTTTCATCGTCGTCGTCGTCTCTTCCACTTTGCGCTGCAGCTCTCCAATCTCCTCCTGCTGGTCGCTCACAACCTCCTTCAGTGCAGCGACCTGCTCACGAGTCGACTCGAGCCGATTTCGAACCGCCTCCGCATCTGCTTCTGCTGCTTCACGCGCCTCCATCTCAGCCTGCTGTGTAGTGCGTGCGGCCTCAAGCTCCGTTTGCAGCCTCCCTTGCACCTCTCGTGCCTCACCCAGCTGTAAGTCCAATACCGCAGCACGCTCTGCCTCGGACGCCAGCTGCGCCTCGACAGCACTGATGCGCTGTTGCGCAGCCTGAGCGGCTGCTTGCGCCTCGTCGAGCTGGGATTGCAGCAAGTCGGCGGCTATCATGAGCTCCCCGCATCGCTCCTGCAGATGCTCCACCTGGCTCGAGGTGTCCGCGTCAGCAGCTGCCACCTGGGGGTTGTTGGGTGAGAGAACGACTGCTGACAGAGCGCCGCGGAACAGCCCCTCCAGGCCCACACGTGGCGGAGTACCAGCACACAGCTGTAAACAGGTTCCATGTGACCACGGCTCCTCCGGGGGAACAGTGCATTTGTGCAGCGAGCCGTTACATGCGGACGAGGATAACCTCGCGTGCGATTGCTAACTTTCAGTTAGCTGTCCTGTACCTTTGGCGGGTAGTTGGCGTCTGCAAGCTGCAAACGACGCAACAGGCAAAGAGCAAGCTCCAACACTCGTGCTTTCCCCCACGTGGACACAAGCAGCAAGCTCAAGAACTTACTGACCCCTCCACATGTTTCCTTGCAGCTGCCTACCTGCCGCAGTCTTTCCTCCCAGCCCGCGCAATCTTCCCTGCGGTCGCTGGCCCCCCCTCCACACACACCTGCGCCCGAGCCAGCTGCTCCTCTAGTGTTGCTTTGGCGCCATTCAGCGCCTCTACCTGGGCGCCCAACTCCGCCACCCGCTCCTTGAGGTTGGCCTTCTCCTGCTTTATTTTCCCGTATTGGGATTTAGCTATCGCCATACGACTCGACTGCTCAGACAGTTTGGCCTCCAGCTCTCCCACGCGCGACTGCAGTTCCGTTGCCACCTGCTGGCCCTGACGTGACTCGATCAGCTGCGCCTCGGCTGTAGCAAGCGCCTCCCGAACTGCCTCCGCCTCCGCCCATGCTGCAGAAGCCTTGGCCTCCGCCTCCTTGAGCGTCGCCTCCAGAGCTGCCACCGCGTCCTCCTGCACTGTTCGCTGCAACTCCATTAAGTCCTGCGCCTCCGTCAATTGCTGTGTGAGGCGGGCAACCTGGCTCTCATGTGCCGCTGCCGCTGCTTGCAGCTCACCCGCCTGGGCTTCCGCTTCCGCGAGCGCCCTCCGCAGCTCCGCCACCTCGGACTGCGTCTGACCCGCCGCAGCCTGCGCCTCCGCCAGCCCGGCCGCCCGTGCCTCCGCCAGCGCCTCGGCGTCAGCGACGCGCTGCTCCAGCTCGGCAATGCGCGCCTCGGCCTCCGAACGCGATGCTGCTGCCGCCTCAGCCACCTGCTGTGCCGCCGCCGACTGTGACGCGAGCGCGCCGAGCTTGTCTGTGCTCTCCTGCAGCTGGGTCCGCAGGTTGTTAATTTCGGCTGCCTGCTGGATGATCTTGGCCTCCATCTGGTCTTGCGACTCCATCTGCTCGCTGTATTGCTGCTGGAGCTGCTCGTTATCTGAGCTCAGCGTCTCCACCTGTGCCCGGAGCTCAGCAGCGGACGCCTCTGCAGCCTAGAGTCACGGAGAGAAAAAATATGGAGCTGGTTCGGTTATGTGCGCAGGTAAACTTGACGACGTAGAACGTTCGTCAAGGACACGAAAGCGAGCGCAGAGGCTGAAAAGTTGGGCCGATGCACTGGCAGGTGTTTCCATGCAGACGACAGTATCCGGTAACGCGTTTTCTGCCAACAAGGGATCTGCATTGCCCGGCGGGCCCCCCCAAATTGCCCCATGATCCCGCCCTCGTGCGACCGCATATACTACGCACTATACCGAGGCCTTATTGCAAAAACAAAGCCCAAGCTTGTATAATCAACTCCCCACCTGCAACCGCTGCTGCAGCTCATCCGCGTGAGTTCGCGCCTCCGCCAGCTTCGACTTCATGTCTTCCATCTCGGCCGCCCACTTAAGGGCCGTTGCCCGCTCCTCTGCCGCCGCATCAGTTGCTGCTGCTGAGGCCGCATTAACCACCGCGATGTCCTCCCTAACCTTGGCCAGCTCCTCTTTCAGCCGTTGGTTCTCCTCCTTTGCCTTCTTGAACGCCGCCTTCCCCTTCGCCAACTGCGCCCGTTCCTTGCCCAGTTCATCGACAGTGCGGCCTAAATCCTCCTCCAACGCTGTCACACGCGCCTTCAACTCTGTTATCGCAGCCTCGTGGCGCTCCTCTGCTGCCGATTCGGCTGCGGCCACCGCCAAAGCTGCCGCTGCTTTTGCATCCTCCCTCGCTGCCAACTCAACACGCAGCTCTGCCAACTGCTGCTGCAGGGTATCGGCTGCTGCAGCACCGTCATCCAGTTCCCGACGCTGCATCGCGCACGCCTCCGTGAGCCGCTGCACCTCCCCCTCCAGCTCTGACACCTGCGCAGCAGCTTTCGCCTCCAGTGCTACAATGTTAGTGCGCAACGCAGCGCACTCAGCCACCAAAGGCTCCAAGTCCGCCACCTTCGCTGCTGCCTCCGCTGCGGCCCGGTGTGCGCTCTCCAGCTCAGACTCCAGCTGCGCTGCCCGGCCCTCCGCCTGGGCAACCGCCTGCGCCCGCAGTGCTGAAGCAGTTGCTGCGTCATCGCTGCGGCGCGCCTCAATGTCCGCCAGCGCTGCCTCTGCCGCCGTTCGGCGCTCTGCCTCCGTGTGCGCTGCCAGTTCTGCCGCTGCCACAGCGTCTCGCGCTGCTGAGAGCGCCGCCTGCAGTTCGCGGGTGAGCACCTCCAACTCCGGAACCCGACCAACAGCCACCCGCAATTGATCGCGCTCGGCGACGACGTCGGCCAGCTGCTGCTGCAGCTGCGCAGCAGCACTCTCTGCATTTGCGGAGTCCGCCTGCAACTTAGCCTCCAGCTCTGACTTCTCCTGAGCAAGGGCTAGCAGCTGAAATGCAAATAAGGGAGGGAGACAGAGCGTCGGAGATTGCGAGGGAGGGCAGGCAATGGCGTGGGGTCGAGGCCGGCCCGCAGGATAGCGTTTCCAAGGCCTTACATTTTTGCCTGCCGCGGGGTCTCCGCCGCACACTGCCTGTATCCCCTGCCGCGCATTACAGCGCACATCCATATCCATATCAATAGGCACATCAAGGAAAGAAGATATCGAACACACCAACGCAGCTCTTCTCCCATCCGCGATCCCGCACCTGCTGCCTTGCTTCCGCAAGCTCGATTTTGCGGTGGTTGCTCTGCTCCTTCAGCTTATCGAACCGCACCTTGCCCTCCTCCTTCAGCTTCTCGTACTTGACCTCCAACACGGACGCCTGGTATTGAGGCACCGGGACCATGATACGACGGGAAGCGAAGCACGCGAAGCAGTGGAGCTCATCCAAAAGAAGGCCCGATCCCCCGCCCTCACGCCCATTCCGGCCCGACGCACCTGCTGCGCCCGCGCCACCAGGCTGCCGACATCCTCGTTCCCCAGCTGCTGCCTCAGCTGCTGAAGCTCCTCCACCGCAGCGGAAGCAGCCGCCAGCTCTCGATCCTTGGACTCCAGCTCCGCCCGCAGATCGCTGTGCAGCGCCTCCCAGTGTGACAGCTCCTGGGGGAGGAGGGCAGCGAAAATTACTTAGGCGCAGGGTTACTGCACCAAACTCAGCGCCCAACCTGTCCCGGCCACAGCGAGGCGGCCAAAGCGGATATTCATTTGGGACATGAGGTTTCCAAATACTGTGGTGCAGCCTCCAAACGTATCGATGCAACGGAGAATTAATGCAGGGGCCATCTTTCGCATCATACCCATCTTGCTGTCCAGGTACAGACCTAGCCAGTGCACGGGGTGTCGATCTTCCCTTTCCTTGGTAGTAGCTCCCCTATCCTACATGACGTGTCCTGCCCTGCTGAACCATCTGAGCCCGATCACTCTCGACTCCCTCAACATGGTCCGGTGTCGGGCCCACCTCGGGCCCACCTCCCCCCAATCTACCACCAAGATGCCCCACCTAGCATCGCATTCCGTTACGTTACACACACATGACAAGCGACATACACAGCCCGACCTCCTTTGTCTTCCGCTGCAGCTCCCGCAGCTCCTCCAGCTCCGCCACGAGCGCAAGTTGCGCCTGTCGCGCCAGTTCCGCCTCCGCAGCTGAGGCGGCCTCCGCAGCCTGCGCTTTTGCGCGCTCCTCCAAATGCTCTCTTAGCTGCTGCACCTCAGCCTCCAGTGCCTCACGCTCCGAAGACAGTCTGGCCACATGCGCCGCCAACTCTGCCTTGCTAGCGCCTACTTCCGCCACCTCATGGCGTAGGCGCTCCACCTCCGCACGAAGCTCCACAAGCTGGGCATCGCGTTCTGCCAACGCGGCGGCAGAGGTAGCATCTGTAGCCGCCCCTGAACACTCTTCACCCGCTCCGGCTGCAGTAGCGATACCTTGCAGCCGTCCTGGTGTGGAGGTGGAGGGCTGCAATGAATCAGCGATTTGCTCAGCCGGGGCCACCCCTGGCATCGCGGTTGACGAAGGCTCGGCCATTTCACCCGCAGAAACAAAGTCAGCCGGCTCGACAGTCGCAATAAGGTGTGCGTTACCCTCATGGCGTGCGGACTGCCCTGTTGCTAACTCGTCGCTTTCCGATACTGGGGCAGAGCAGGGCTGCTCGAATGCCGCAGACTCTGCAGCTGCAGCCCGGTCATCCTTAACATCTCCCACGGCACCATCAGGGACAGGCGCCGTGGGAGGCGGCGTTGAAACAGCCGCTGGGGGGGTCGACTCCAGGCGGATACCGGCAGCGGAGGCAGGCAGGTCCACCTGACCCAAGAGCTCTGCAGCCGCGTCAGGAAGTGCCTGTAGAATGGAGGGACGCATCAGGAAATTAAAGGACTGACGGGCGTGCGCGTTGACCCAGGTAACACCCACCGGGAGGGCTGCCGCCGTTGCATGTGCTACAGCATGGTTGGAGCCGCCGTTAGCCTGCAAGAACGACCAAGACTCTTAAGGACTTCAAAAAAGGGAGCGTCGTCGGCTCTCTTTCGAATTGCACCTGAGCAACGGACGCAGAACCCACGGGCACCGGCCGAGGTGTGTTTGGTGACGAGCTCGCGGCCTTGTGTGTTGCGCGCTTGCTCTTGAACTTGGCCAACTGCGTACACATTTCCTGGAGATCAGATATGGTGGCGCCTACCCTACAGACTATACCTCTCCCGTGATCGCTCAAGTTGCGCCCATTACAGATACGAGCAGATATAGGGCGCAAAACAACTGAGTTACTCGAAACTCTTGCACAGTTGTGCTCACCACGTCGGCCCCCAAATTCTTTAATTCTTGCGTTTTTTGTGACATGTCTTAATTTTAGAAGCTATAGTATTCACTTGGTGTGGTCATTCACAGGAAAATTTGCCCCAGGCAGCTCGGTGCATAAATCTAGCTCAAATTGTTGTCACCTACAGCGTCAGCTTTCGGTGTATATTACTTTAACGGATGACCGCAAAGGTTGTCTTTCCATCGATATGCAAGGCTACTGCAATCACTAGCAGAAAGTCAGAAAGTCAAGGTTGTGCACGGGTACGACGGGCTAGTGTGTGTCCACTTGAGCCGTTTTGTGCCCGGGATTTTACAGCACGATATCTCTAAAATGTTGGCAACCACCTGTTACCTTTGCCCGAGTACTGCCGCCTTTCCCCGTTGTTGGGCTCCATTCTTTTCGGCCCTTTCCTGTCTTTCTTCAAGCCAAGCCGCCGCTGGAGTCCAAACATGGTAGCCTATATCGTGACGTCATTGCCTCAGCTCAATTTTAGCAGCAATAATCACAGGTTCCTTTGACCACTTTGAAGCCGTGGCTTGATGCGAGTCGCCAAACACGAACCTGGAGACGCGCGGTGCCTGGACACAGGCAAAACCTGATTCCAAATGATTTTTAATGTCCCAATGCCATGTTTCGTTTGCTGCGTCAACGGCTGCACAAGAGCGAACTGTCGCTTGCGCGTCGTGCCATTTTTGCTTGCGCATTGGCGATTTTCGCTTGGAACGCATGCTTGAATCGGAGCGGCTAATGCCATGACAGCTTGACTAGCTGCCACATCCTGTCACGCCTCTGGGGGTTTCAGCACCATGTGGGGCCCCATACGTGTGCGGTGTTGGTGGTTGGGTGTTGGTGTTTCAGCACTATGTGGGGCCCCATACCCTCGTGCGTGTTGAGCACCGGCAGCTGACGGAGCACTGGCTTGGGAATGAAAGGCAGCTGCAGGCTCTGGGAATGGGAGGCAGCTGCAGTGCTTCATGGCGCTCTGTCACAGTGGGCTTGTTACAGGCGCAGCGGGGAAAAAGCGAACCGGGGGCCCCCTTCCGCCACCGGAAAATTGTGCAGTGTTCTACTGTATTTCGACACGGAGTACCATTTGTTCTGGATTCCTGTGCTAGCCCGCGAGGTGGCGGCTGGGAACCTATCCATCCGTCATCCAACCGCCGCTCTGAGCAACATGTCTGCTGCTCCCACTCCCAACACCCGCTCACGCTCATTCTTAAAACACCGTCCCCCCTTACACACACATACACACACAAATGCGCGTACTATCTCAACATGCACACGCACACATCCTGCATTTGGACCGTGTCCTATCGACTTCCGCGCTGGGACCCAGCTCCTCGCATGGACACTCGGTCAAGACGCTGGCCATGGGTGTCTTACCCTTAGCGAAGCTTCCATTCACGACGTCTCTCTCGTATTCCGCCTCAAGCCCAAGGTGCCTCTTTGCAGCCGCGCCATTCGTGTACGGCATCCTACCACGTGTGGCTACGCGAGATGAGAGCGGGGCCCCACGGGGTATCACTGAGGGCGGGGCCGCCATCACACACAGGGCCGCTACGCTTCCGCCTCCTCCTTCGGCTCTTATTACCAGCAAGGGCTCCTGCTCGAACAGCCCGTTTGCCCCCTGTCACCCCCCTCCGTGCACCCACCCTTGGCCACCAGCCCTTCGTCACCGCCATTCGACCGCCTCTGCCGCCTCCTGCCGCAGCCGCCACCAGAAGTGGCCCAACGCGTCCATCTCCGGAGCCGACCAACCCTGCGCCCCACCGCCACCACCCGCCACATTAGCCGCATGGAGCCGCCGTAACTCCGAAACACGAACCAACAGCAACCCCCGACGAGCCGCCCAGGGGCCCCCGGGGCTCTCCCCTGCCTGCAGCGCCCGTTCTTCCCTCCGACCTCCCCCGTCCGCCTCCCGCCCTGGGCGCCCTCCTAGCTGCTCCCCAACGCTCTGGCTTCGCGCCACGAACGCATCCGCCACCTGCTGAGCCCTCCGCAGAAGCTGGCGGGGCAGTCCGGCCAGGGCAGCAACCTACACCGCCGACAGAGCAGCAGCAGTAGGATTAGTTTGGGTGGCGGCCAGGGGCCAGGGGCCCGGAGGGCGTGTGGAGGATACCGAGAGCCAGCTTGTAAGGCCTCGCCGGAGCGCACGTCACTGTTTGTTGTTGGCCATGCGGGGCCGACCAAACACAGGCACAAGTTGCCAGTCAGAGGTCTCTGCCGGTCCGGGGATTATGCTGGCCTAATAGCTGCCATCATCACACCACATGCCAGACACCCGCCTATGATACTGCGCCGCACCCGCCATGTTGCGGGTAGCAGCTGCCTCAGCGCATTGGAGCACCAGCACCGGCACCGGCACCAGCATGCAAGCTGCACACGGACACTCACGTGATCCCTCCAGGCGTCAAATGGCACCTGCCAGTACCTGCCCTGCCCTCTTCCGTCCCCTCCTTGTTTGTCCCCGCCGGGTGAGAACACACATACAGACAGGCATACAGACGTACCTGTAATCCGCAGCTTCCGTCCGGTGCGGGTCTCGGTCTCAGTGTGTGCAGCGGCACGAAGGCCCCCTCCGCACTCACGGTGCTGGCCATGTGAGCCACTGCCACTCGACCCGCCAGCCCCGAACCACTGCTGCGGACACCACCACCGCCGTCACCATCACCACCGCCTGGCCGGGCAGGACACTGAGTCGCTGCTGCTGTTGTTGCCTCGGTGGCCAGCCCGTGATAGTGTGTGGCAAACAGCGTCCTGCATGACCCCGGGAATTAGGATTCGGGGTTTGGGTAGTGGGGAGGAAGGTGGGCAGAGACGTCGGTAGGGCTACGGGATGTCATGCGTGGATATGTAATGCCGAGAAGGCCGTACAGCCACGTGTTGTACAGAGCGGAGCGGAGCGAACTATGACGGTTTGGTATGCGGAGCCCTCCCAACCGTTTTCGTCCAATCCTGACGAATTAGGATAATCCATGCCGGCAATGGTGAGGGTGGGGTTCCACTCCGGTTCCGGAATCCGGTCTCGGAAGTGGAGCTAGCCGTCCGCCTGTGCCTCCCTCCCTTCCCCCTCCTCACCTGCAACCCCCCTTCCTTTCCCCCTCCTCACCTGCAACCCCCCTTCCCTTCCCCCTCCTCACCTGCAACCCCCCTTCCCTTCCCCCTCCTCACCTGCACCCCCCTTCCCTTCCCCCTCCTCACCTGCACCCCCCTTCCCTTCCCCCTCCTCACCTGCACCCCCCTTCCCTTCCCCCTCCTCACCTGCAACCCCCTTCCCTTCCCCCTCCTCACCTGCACCCCCCTTCCCTTCCCCCTCCTCACCTGCACCCCCCCTTCCTTTCCCCCTCCTCACCTGCAACCCAGCTCATTGGTGAGGTACTCCAGCACCGCCCCCGCCACTGCCTGGCCGTCATGAGTTGCCGTACCGCGACCCAGCTCGTCCAACACCACCAGGGAGGCCCTGCTGGCGGAGCACAACCCCGCGGCTGCCTCACCCATCTCCACCTGGGGGCGGGGGCCGGAAGGGGAGGGAAAGGGGGGAGAGCACCGTGGCAAGAGGTCGTCCCGTTGAGCAGGACTGACGGCAGCAGGTGAACAGCAGCCAAGGAATGGTGTTAGGTAAGTAGGTTTCTGTGTGGCTGGGTACGTTGGAGGACATGAGGCAAGGGGTATGACGAACCACTGACTGAGGGGGCAAGGGGGGTGCTCAAGGCCCCTGGAAGAGGTGCCGACAAGGAGCATGTACAGCGCCATGGAGGGGCACATGGCCGCGTGCGTGCGTGCGTGGGGGCATGTGTGAGAGTATTGTTTCGTGTGGTATGGCCTTGCCGTGGTGCCGCATTCCTTCGCCCACTCGACCCCACTCCACCCAGGGCATAGGGCCTCTCAAAGCAGTCGTACAGAGATAGTGTGCTCCCCTCCTCCCCGCCCCCCTCGCGCACCTGATTGCCAACAGCGAGAGGCGGCCGCGGCCCCGCCCGCTTCATTATGCACCGTAACCCTCTCGCCCGCTCTCTCCACGTTGAGCTTCACCCTCTCCTCAAGCCCCTTCCCTCACCCACCCCCACCCCACCCCACCCCACCCCACCCCACCCCACCCCACCCCACCCCACCCCACCCCACCCCACCCCACCCCACCTGGAAGGTGCTCTCACCCGACATGATGCGGTCGTGTGCGCCTGCGGGGAATGTGTATGTGGGTGGGGAGGGGGAGGGGGGTGTAGTAGGCTCAAGGGGGCGCTCAAGCGGGAAGAGATGTCGTTCACGCTTACCATGCGCGGCATATGCTCCGGAGGGGGGCCGCACCACGCCTTGATCTAGACACACGTACAGCCGTACGGACCCCCCCCCAGCAGTGTGTGTGCCAGAGGGCTGTCCCAGAGGCGTGCCCCGCTCTTGCCTACTTGCCTCTCGAACTCGTGCAGTACATTGCGGTACAGTGCCACGCCGTGCTTTACAGTGCCGTGCAGTACAGCGCAGTGCCACCTTATCCTACATTGCAGCCCCCCCCCTTTCCCCCTGCCCCTCCCCCCCCTTCCCCCTTCACGCCCCCTTTCCCCCTGCCCCTTTCCCCCCCCCTCCCCCTTCACGCCCCCGCACCCATCCTTGTGAATATTCTGTCCACGGGGTCCATTCTGGCTCCCCGAGCGGGCACGTAGCAGCCCAGCTGGGCCATCAGCACCGCGAGCCCGGCGGCCCGCAGCAGGGTGCTCTTGCCGCCCATGTTGGCGCCGGTGAGCAGCAGGGAGGGCGGCAGCGAGCCGCCCAGACGCACGTCGTTGGGGGTCACCGCCGCCACCTGCCCGCCTGGGAGGTAGCCGGGGAAGGAGGGGGGAGTAGCCCGGGGGGGAAGGGGAGGTAGGGAAGCAACGCCGGGTGCCAAGAAGCTGAAGATCTGTATGTGTGTATGTATGTATGTGTGTTGTGGACGAGGGGACGGAGAGGTACTCGGAGCACAGAGTGGGGGTTTGGGTCAAATGGCTGAGAGATGTATGCATGTATGTATGACTTAGATTACACTGTGGGCCGCGAGGGCCTGGGGCCGAAGCCGAAACACAGCGCAAGGGTCGGGAGCACACAGCACAAGTCGGTTAGTCTTGTGTGCTCCCGACCCCGACTCAGACTGCCAACACTCTACGCAGCCACTCCGCCGCCCCTCCATCCGGGGATGGCGCTGCAGTGAAAACACCACGAAGGGTTCTCAGGTCCCGCTAGAGCGAGTCCACAAGTCTCAGCTAGGGCAAAGTCAAAGGCTCTCAGAAACAACCCCTCAAAACACCACCAACGAAAACGGGATCCTAAGGGAGGAAAACAAACAAACAAAAAAACGGTTAGGGCAGTCCCGGCAGGGGAGGGCTCCTGATATACCTAACAGGCCAACAAAAAACCTCCAAGAGAGAAAGGCTAAGAGAGCTCGACACCACAAGACGTCTTGCAACCACCTTAAAAACAACTGACCTCCACCACCTGTCCCTTCCTGGGCTGGTCCAGGGGAGAAGTAGCCTTATAAAGAAAAGGGATCCCGCACAAGCCTGATCACCACTGCAGGGGCCCGGGATAGTCCGGCGAAACCACCAAAGCGTTAGCGTTGCCACGACACACAGCTCCTAGGCCCTCCAGAAAACCGCAGGGGGAGGATTGTAGCCCGCGCGGCGCCTCCCCCTTACCGCCACTAACCTGAACGGTTGGTCCTCCAGAAACCTATTCACCCTGTCTCGTACTGCACCGCTCTCACCTTCGTCCCTCACCAAGCAACCCAGTCCCACAGAGAAGACGTGTCTAAATAGAATGGCCCTCCTCGGGCCACATCTCCCCCTCATCCGAGCCCCGCTACCACCACCAGACCTCAACTTCCCAAACACCAGAAAACCTACGTCCTTTTGGCGCTCTCACCGCCATCTCCCCCCTCCCCTGTCCGAGCGACCCCATGTATGTATGTATGATTGAGGGATGGATTGAGGGATGGATCGACTGATTGACAAGCAGAGCACCAACATCTTCATAGTGTCTGTGCTGACCCTGCCTGGTGTCGTACAATTATGTGGTGTCATATACTTATGGTGTCGTACAATTATGAAGGGAGAATGACAATACGGATTGAGTGTTCAATTGCATTCAATTGGCAAAGAAGCCTTCCACTCTGTAACCACATTTCAACATTAATAAGGATTGAGTGACGTTGATGGAGGGGTGTTGGCGGCGACAACGGCCACACCGTCTGAGTGCGCTTGCCTGAGTGTTGATCCCGAGTGCTGGTGGTGGCGGAGGTGGTGGTGGTGGTCGCCAGCAGCAGCAGGGGGTGCCACAGCCCCTCCAAGACCAACTCGGGCGGTGTGGGGGTGGAGGTGGGATGGGGG